CGTGCATGCGGCACCCCGATCACATCGGAAGCAAAGGTACCATTTATACAGGCTGAACGAGTCGTGCAACTATTCACGTCTTGTGTAGATGACGTCGAATTCTGGTCTCACCACGAGAAGGTGGTGGTGGTCGACAACCACTATGCATGCATCGGCGGACTGGACCTCTGCTTTGGTCGTTGGGACACCCACAACCACCCGCTCGCCGACGTGCACCCGACCAACCCTTTCGCGACGCTCTTCCCAGGCCAGGACTACAACAACGCGCGTATCATGGACTTCAAGGACGTCCCGGACTACGTGAGCAATGGTCTGAGTGCGATCGAGAGTGCTCGCATGCCGTGGCATGATGTGCACATGACGATCACGGGAACAGTCGTGCTCGATATAGTGCAGCACTTTGTAGAGCGTTGGAATGAAATCAAGAAGCGCAAGGTCCGTATGCTGTGGACGCATTCCCGTTCCAGAAGACTGTCATGCTCACGATCTCCGCTTCTCCCAGTACCGCCACGACGAGTAAGCGCGGGCTCGATCTCCATCATAGCATCGGAACTAATGGTTATGGGACAGACGCTACGATTGGCTTGCTCTGCCCCACGATGTGGATGCCGCTCCGAGCGAAGCTGTTGCCCGTAAGTCGCGATTCCGGTGCGGTTATCGCAACCGAACCTCCGCTGACGCCCACGGTAGGCCACCCCCACCGCGAGCGCTGGTACGAGATTGGAAGGCGGTTCAAGGAGCATTTCCACCGCCACTGGCACGGCGACGCGCCCGCTGACTACGATGGCAACTACCCCGTCGTGCGCGGGACGTGTCGCGTGCAGGCGGTTCGCAGTGTGTCCGACTGGAGCCATGGTGTGCTCACCGAGCGCAGCATTCAGAACGCTTGTATGTATCGCATCCGTTGTATGACCTGCATGCCGAGTCTGATGACGTCTTTCTTTTCTTGAGATATCGAGCTCATCCAACAGGCGGAGCACTTCATCTACATTGGTTCGTTCTCTATGATTTGTCGGCACTGCATATCTACTCACGCTTGTACTGTCAGAGAACCAATTCTTGTGAGTTGCCACGCGGGTTGCACATAAGGCTGTCGACTAAGTCATTGTCCAATGCAGCATCTCGAACACTCAGGAGGAAGGCCCTGTGAAGAACCTCATCGCCAAGGCTCTGGTCGAGCGTATAATCCGCGCTGGTCGGGAAGGCAAGAGGTTCAGGGTATGTACCAGAGCCCTCAGTGGACGGGCAGTTCCGCTGACTGTAAAATAGGTTGTCGTCATCATCCCCGAGGTCCCTGGTTTCGCTGGGCAAGGTATAATATATGTCACCTAGGCGAGAGTGCTGGCGCTTACGGACGCACAGTCAAGGACGAGACGTCTGTCAAGACGATCATGGCTGCTCAATACCGCACCATGAACCGTGGCGGTCACAGTATCTACGAGGAAGTCCGCAAGGCGGGTTACGAGCCGTGAGTAGTGCAACATCCGTACGCGTGGACCTTGAGTTGAATATCCTACCTCAGCTCCGACTACCTCCGCTTCTACCACCTCCGTGCATACGATCGCATCAACGCCCCGTTCGGTTAGTCAACCCAATTCCGCGGCTCACAGTCCATATCTCATCCTGTTGTAGAGTCCTACATCCGCCAAATCGAGGAGCGAAGCGGTATTCCTTTCCACCAGCTTGGTGTCGCCCTCGGCCGCCTTTGGGTTGGTCGCGGCGACGGGCCGGAGGACCCAAAGCAGGTCTCGGTGACGATCCCCACGGGCAAGTCGCTCGAGGAGCAGTCGACGTCGGGTGCGAAGCCCGAAATGAAGACCGAGACGTACCCGATGCCGGCGACGGTCGAGGAGGCGCAGGAGGTCGTCGACCGCTGGATTCGTGCGGCGGAGTCGGTCCGGTCCGACGAGGACGTGGCGGACAACGTCGTGCAGCACATGTTGCACGACCGCACGAGCCTGCTTGAGGAGAAGTGGCTGGGCACGGAGGAGGAAGAGCGGAACGCTTACGTGTCGGAGCTGCTCTACATCCACTCGAAGCTCATGATCGTGGATGACAGGCGTGTGATCGTGAGTGTCTCCCATCTGGCTGTGAGATTGGTCGCTGAACATACGGGCGAACAGATGGGTTCGGCGAACTTGAACGATCGTAGCCAGAAGGTTAGATGCTTGCAGACCTCAACTGACGCATACTGACACGTCTGAGCAGGGTGACGGTGACTCCGAGATCGCGCTCGTCGTCGAGGACGAAGATATGATCGATTCGACTATGAATGGCGAACCGTACATGGTAGCTCGCTTCGCCGCCACCCTGCGTCGCAAGCTCTACCGCGGTACGTCTCTCGATCATCGCTTGTCTTCAGATGTCCCTCTAACGTACGATCTACATCTATCACTGTAGAGCACCTCGGCTTGATCCCGCCTCAGTGGGCCGAGGGCAAGCCAGACTCCTTCATGCACGCCGCACCGCACCCGAACGCAGACGAGACCGGCCAGGACGCGGACCAGCTTGTCGCAGACCCGCTCAGCGACGAGACGATCGATCTATGGAACAACACTGCGCGCAGGAACCGCGAGATCTTCACGGAGATCTTCCGCCCAGTCCCGACCAACCTCATCCGGTCCTGGAAGGACTACGACGTAAGCATGTCACTCGTTGTGAGGCGAGGTATGGTTTGATGGGTAGCTGACCGGATCGCGATGCCATAGAACTACGTCCCGAAGGTCATGACTGGCCACGTCGTCCCCGAAGTTACGCTCGAGCGCGTCAAGGACCGTCTCTCGCACGTCCGCGGCGCCCTCGTCGAGTGCCCGATGGTAAGAGTGATTTTCCGCTTTGCCTAAAGCTACGCTTCTAACCGAAGCTCGCGCATTCAGGACTTCCTCATCGACCAGAAGGACTTTGTGGAAGGCCCCGACTGGATTGGCCTGAACCCGACGCTGCCCATCTACATTTGAGGCATCGTGCACGCATAACGCACAACGAGATCACGGAGAGGGATATGTGTACGAGTGAATATATGAAGTCCTTGGTGTTATTTGGGATGGAGTGACCTTGTATTATATTATCAGTGCTTGATTTATGCCATCAGTGGAGGCAGCGAGATCGAATCTAAGTTCGAACGTAGCGTTAGGTGGTCTGTCTGTGGTCTGTGGAGACTGGAGACGAGTAACAGTACCATCAGTGCTTTCACCTTTGGATGTCCGAGGCAGGCTATGCTTGGGCGATTGCAGTCTTGCACGATGCGTCCTAGAAAAACATTAGCGAGAGCTCGTCTCGGCCACTGAGGAAACATACAAGCAACGAGAACCAAAAGCTATTCCCATTAGCCGACTCGAACGACTGACCTCGTCATAGCACGCTGATTAGCAAATACTAGTGACGCGCTCTACCAACTGAGCTAAACGGGACATGCAATGCTTGGCATTTGTTGCAATCATCTGCCGATGCCGGTGTAAGACTAGAACAAGACAGGTACAATGCTCAAGTTGAACCACACTGTGGACCTGGATTCGGGTGAAAATCACCCCCTAGTACGTATGAGAAATCATCAGTATAGGTGGTGAAAAGGTCGACTACGACGGGAAATTCACCAGCCGTACTGCCATTTTCGGGTGGTGATCTTCACGGTCTATATGTCCGTTTTCAACAGTGTCTTTCCTGGTGATTTTAGAGGGTCGAATTCACCTCCAAACGTGGGCATTCTGACCAAGCTAAATCACCCGGAGCACGGTTGATTTTTGAACGGTATGCAGGTGATATTCACGCATATTTTTCATGGTACAGCACATTGTTATAATAGCAACCACAAATGATACATTGAACACGGCTCAAAATCAATACATGGAGCATAGAAATACCGAAGGACCAGAGAAAGGGGGAGAGATTTGTTACCAGTGAGGCACGCTCACCCTCACATAGCTGAGACTGTTACCATAGATCTTGCTGATGAGTCCATGGATTCACCACGCACCTTGGGGCCCCGGGGCGGCAAGAATATGAATGAGATGGTACTCACCTGGTACCCGCTGCCATAGAAGGGCCCATGATCAGGAGAGGAATGCTAGATAAGCTATGCATGTGGATAGACACCAATAAGTACATGAGGATCCATCAGCCCGAGGACGTACCATTGCCAGTGTCACTACGGTGGCCCTAAGGAGGTGGTGGTCAGGAGTGAAGCGACATCGATGGCCGCGAGTCTGATAAGGCAATAAGCGCTGGCGTTGTAGAAGCGCCCGGGACTTAGCGAAATTGTGACAAAGTGGTTCTGTTCTAGTATCGACCACTCAGAACTCTTCGATGGTCCGGATGAGACCCACTCGTATTGAGTCGTTGTATGAGAAGTATACGAAGGGTTATGATCAATGGTGGAGCCTTTTCTGCAAATTCTCGAAAATCAACAGGCCCCCGGTGGTGAAAATCACCTCCTTGCGGCGGGTGTCTGGCCGTCAAGATTTCTGTGGCTAAATTCACCGTGTAGCGAGGGTATTTATCAGTAGTTAATTTCAACGAGAATAACCACTTGCGCGGAATCACCACCACGGGAGGTGATATTGCTTTTTCACCGGGCACACCGGTGCTTTTCACCCGTGTTTGGTCCCACAGTGCCAGTACATGTCTCCAGGGCCTTCCTGGTTCTATAGGGTGAACTGGCATGCTCCACATAGTAACTTATTATCATATACCAACTTCAGGCAGCTCAAACTCAAGTCCAAAATACCAGATTTAATATGAACAGAGATTCAACTCGGTTTCTAATGACATATGTCTGCAATTCTCCCCATAATGACCACCAGCCAGGGTGGAGTGATGAAACTCAGTTGCTATCTGTAAGGCTATCAATCATAAGTGAAGCACCTTACATAGTGATACATTTGTGGTACTAATCAGTAGAATTACACCCTGTGCTCCTCATCTCTGCACTCCGTATTCCTTCATCTCTGCACTTCACAATTAGATACCATTGAATGGTAAACTGTGTGGAGATGCAAAATGTATTCCCATTAGCCGACTCGAACGACTGACCTCGTCATAGCATGCTTATCGGCAAATACTAGTGACGCGCTCTACCAACTGAGCTAAACGGGATATTAATTCCATACCGCGCCGGTGCAGCACGGCGCGCTTCCTAGCAGACGAGGAGCTCGATAGCGACAAGTACAGTAAGAACACATCCAGCACACGAAGTAACAAGTCTACACGGTAAGTATCCTGAACGGATCCGAGCCTCCACCCTCCAAGCCCGCCAAGACCGCGTGCCGTACCGCGCCGAGGTAGTCGCCGAGCCGGCGTCCGGCCTGCGCGGAGAAGTCGTCGTACAGCCGGTAGCGCGAGTCCGCGACGACGTTGACGAGCGAGAGCGCGTGCTTGAGGTTCCTGCACACATCAATCAAACAGCGTCAGCGTCGAGGAAGGGAATGAGAAGAGATTGAGGAAAGGGAGTGGTAGAAGAGAGACGTACTCAGGAATACGGCCGCGCGACGCGACGAGGATGGTGTGGAGGCGGAGAATGAGCTCGGGGATGTAAATCTGGCGGATGCGTACAAGGTCGCGGTGGCGCTTGGCGTCTGCGTTTAGTAAATTGATCATAAGCCCGGTGGACCCCCTGGGGAAACAGGGAAGAGAAACGTACTGCTGGGGCGAGTCTCCACGTCGGAGACGAGCCAGTCCGTGGTGAGCAGCTTCACGACTTGCTCGCGCGCCTGCTCGATCAACGTCTACACAACGTCAAATGTCAGCTGAAGTTAACCCTTGATAAAGGAGTACTGCATAGGCGAGCGTACCTTGTAGTCGTCCAACCACGCCACGCGCGTCTCCTTGTTCATCTGCGGCTGCTCGAGCGCCTCGCACTCGACGACGCGTGCAAGTGCGTCCCAGACGCCGAAGAACTGGCGGTAGTGCATGTACTCTGTCGCCTCTTCCTCTGGGTCACGCAGCGTGCCGAGCTCTGGCGGGAGCATGTCCAGCAGGATCTTCGCCACCTGCACGCGCCCGTGGCCTGTGTGCGTAGAGAACGAGTCAGCAGTCCATATATGCGGATGGAAGGGGGGAAATCGGATAGAGGGGAAGGGGCGAGGGTGAAGACGTACCGAGGAAGTAGCGGAGAATGACGTTGGCTTGTTCGAGCGCGGTGTCGTATGTCGATTCGAGGAATGTTGTCCATTCGATCGACCGTACGAGCAACCACTCTGCCTCGCTTGGTGGGGGCTCCATCGCAGAGATGAATGGCAACGCGCCTTTTGGTGGTGGTAGAATCTGCGTCATAAATCACATCGTGTTAAATCGCAGACGAATAACGCGATGCCGAGATGGAAAGCTGGCGACGTACGGTGAACGCCTTCTCGATTGTACGCTCCGCCGTCACAACCGCGACACGCTCGATATCGAGTCCGTGCTCACGAGCACGTGTGAGGGCAAGCCGTCGTTCATGGACGTCTGCGGACAGTTCAAGCGAGGTGAGGAAGAGCGCATACCGCTCCACCGCGTTGTCGCCGAGTGCCCCGGCGTACATAGCGATCAGCTCGCGCTGGCCGGCAGCCTACATCCAAAGTCAGACACAAGTAAGACGAGTTGTCACAGTGTACGTTACCTCGAGAACTTGGAGATATGCTTCGAGAATGACTTGCGTGGCGTAGGGCGAGACGGGCATGTCGATCATCTGGAGGAACAAGCACAAGTGCGCGAAGAAGCGCGTCATGGTCGTATACCTACCCGTATACCATGAGATGACATTGTCTCACGCTCTGAGGAGGCACAGACATACTCTGGTGATGAGATATAGGTACCCTCTTGCAACCCGCCTGCGAAAGCCTCCAGCAGCGCATCTGTTCTGTCGAGGATGATGTGTAATTGCGAGACGTGGTACGGGTTGTCTGCGGGTGCGCTGCCAATACGCATGAGCGATAGCTGCTAGGCAAGCTCGGGGCTATGATGTGCTCACCCTTCAGTTACCTGGACGTTGGACAACCCCTCCAACGCCTGAATGACTTCGTGCTCCCACTCTTCATCCGCCTCATCCCCTGCGTCCCTTGGCACAAGCGCGGCCGCGCCTCCTTCCAGAGCACCCAGCCCGTTTTCCCAGAAGCACTCACGCTCGATCGAAGCGAGCCCGACACTCAGTCGCTCCTCGCACGCGAGACTGATGAGTGTCCATAAGTGGTCCTCCCATGTCCGGGCAACCGCCTTCAGGGAGATGGCAGTCTGAGCGGTCGGCGCGAGCGCTGCATAAAGCGCCCGCTCTGTCGGGGATAGTGATGACTTGCAACGAGATACGCATATCAAGACACGCGCGCCGTTCGGGAAGTATGAGGACTCACGCTCAACGCTGCTTGCGAGCAGACCTTCTTCCATAGCCTCCGCCGCACGTTCCCGCGCCATTGGTGCGAGTCCTCCGCCTCCTCGTCGTCCATCGCGTCGGCTTCTCGAGGTTCGTTGGCTGCGAACAAACGTTCATAGCGAATCCTAGGTACAAATAGCATAACATACCGATCGCGCGCCATTGGAAGAGAAGTGCTCCGCGTATGCTCGCAGCACGCCATGACTGGTTAGCTTTCCGACATAGCTCAAGCGCTTCTTCGAGCTGGCCTGCGCGTACATGAGCATACAGCGCTTGTAGCACGGCTTTCTCGTATGCCTAGTGAGAATATTCAGAATTGAACACTCAGGCTGAGATGCGAGGGGTACTTCAGGGCTGCAAGAAGAGTACTTACGGCATCGTCCGGTGCCAAACCCTTCTCTTCTACCCCGTCCCGGTTCACCGCATCAGGGTCCAGCTCTGTGACAAGACCTGCGCCCGTTCTCCCTGTTCGCTTGCCTTGCAGGAGCGCGTTTCGCGTGAAGCGCCAATAGCCATTGGTGGCACCAGGGTCGATAGAAGCGGGGGAAGGCGCGGAATCATGAAGCCATTCGCGTACGACGACAAGTTCGGAGAGAAGAGGGGAGGAGTGCATGATGGATTGTGCGAGCGTGGCTGGTGGCGTGTAGGGATTTGCGGCGAGAAGCTCTCGTGGGCGGGGGTATTCCGGAGGGGTCGTTTTCCGTAGCCTTGTGACTGTGAGCTCAAAGAAGAAACATTCTAATTGCGTGTACATACGACATCAGAGCTTGCAGTAGTGCCCAGGTGTCGCTCTCCATCTTGAGAGCTTCGAGTTCAGATATTGAAACTGAGGTATCCACTCCTGCACTGTCCTGTAGTTCTGCTAATCTGCACGAGATGCGTATGGGTGTGGTCTGTGGGAGCTATGGTTTGTACGTACTGTGAATCGCATATTTGGCGCAATTTGGGCGCAAACCCTGTCTCGGGATGGAGGAGAGCCTCGAGGTTGTCCTTATTGGCTTGGCAGACGGAGAGAACCTCCGCGCAGGACGCGTACAGAGATTCCGTCATAATGAAATTGCTGTTTCCAGTATACGTAAGTTGATACGCGGCGGGTGAACGCGTCAAGGAGGAGGATGGCAAGCCAGGACGAGCTTGATGGACGGACTCGGAGAACGCGGTGGAGGGAGAGGAGAAACACAAGGGTCCTCTCAAGCGCCCGAGTCGCGTGCACTCACACGGGCGCTAAATGAGCCTTCCACCCTTTTAAACCACTGGCGCATTTCCAACATCTCTCGTATACTTATCCCACAAGTCGGGTGCTTTATAACATCACTCGACTCAAAGTCAGCCATTCTCTGAAGCCGGCATGTGCGTTGTGGACGTACGTCAAGTCAGCATTTCCGGAGCGGATTTTCGACTCTGACGGGTGTCTCCAGAGTCTAGATCTTAACAACCCATCGCGTGCTTTGAAGTTGAACAGCATCATGCATATTCCAAGTCCAAGTTCAGTAATCGAGCGTCCATGAGGTGCACCGTGGAAGTGCTTCACACGCGGTCACTGCGGCATCCAAGCATAGTATGACCTCTCGAACAACTGGTACAGCATCTAATGAGGACGAAATACTCTGTTCGTACGTCGAGGCAAACGACGAAACTCGAGTCAAGAAATGTATCATGAACACAGCACATTCGGCTCTGATACCCTCACGCCTACCCACTACATACCACGACTGTCGTACAAAGAATGGTGTGCGCAGCTTCACTTGGTAGCGGCAGCACCACGGGCGATGCCAAGTGCTCCCCGGACCACCGTATGCCACTCCTCCCTGATAGAATCGGACATCTTGGTGGACGTGTACCGAGAGACCCTCACCCCAGTCGCAGCGAAGTCCTCCGTGTTGAGTATCTTGGAGTCGTAAAACACGGCCCGTCCCAGGCTCAGCGTCCCCTGCGCGATCTCCTGCCCGCCCGTCGAGAGGCCAGGGCCGTGCGCGTCCGGCGCGTTGTCATCCGCGTAGATCGTCACGTTGAAAGACGTGCCGGGCTTGAAGAACGCGGCGGAGTCGCTGGTGAGCGGCTGCATGACGTCCTCGGGGCGGTTCAGGTGCGCGATGACGCCGCGCGCCAGCTGGTCTGCCGTGAGCGCGGGCTGGCAATTGAGCGTAATGAGGTCGGACGTGATCTGAGCGTTAGGGGCGCGGAGGAGCATGTGGTCGACATGCTGCTCCGTCTGCGATCCGTACAGGTAGAACGGCGTGTACCCCCCGGGGTACTTCTGGTCCCGCCAGCGGGAGTTGAGCGGGCGGTCCTTCACGACGGATGTAATCGTGAACGTGACAGAGGGAATGCGAACGGTGCTATAATCGTACGGATTGTAGTTCGTGAGATGCTAGTCCACTCTGAATAAAGCAAAGATGTTCGCACTGACCTGCCCGCAGTGATATCTCCAACGAGTTTCTTGGCGCTCAGGATGTCGTCGATAGTTGTCTTCCCGTGGGTGCTCAACTTGAACGGAACATTGGGATGTGCCGATCGCGCCACCTTGTATTCCGTCGCACTGATAGCGCTCGAGAACTTGACAGAGAGGATCAGCTGTTGACGGCCATTGACGTGGTAGAACAGAGGGCAGTAGGCGAGATACAAGGTATGGATGCCCTGCATGGTAAAGTCGTGAATCTGCGGCGACACCGTGTTCCGGGCAACGACGTTCTGGATCGCGTAATGGGGGGAGGGCGCGTGCGGCGTTCATGTCAGGTACGGTTGGATACCA